AATCCAAGCAGGCCGTAAGAGTAAAAGCGATAACGAAGCGTAGTAATCCCTGTATCCGCGATTTACGACTAGTTTACAGGATGTAACACGTAACTGCGTTTAACGAAGGGACGTTACGACAGCGGAAGGAACGCGGTCGAAGGACAACGTGAAACGACACGCGTTATTCTGCTGCAGTAACGGCTAAACATTCGAGACTAAACTATAGGTGACATCCTAATTTACAGAAATTATTAGTCGAACAATAGAACCGCACATTTTTCAGAATCCGATTATTTAATCGTATACACCCAGTCGTGGGGCAATATCCAACGTATGCGTCCACAAATACACGCGCACCCGACCACTTACCTACGCATTTTGAGCGATGTCACACACATACACATATACATATACATATACATATACATATACACGTTACATGACACATGCTCAAGAAAATGTGAAACAAGAGGAAGTTGAAAGAATTGAAAGCGAATAAAGCGAATAAAGAGTGGAGAGAAAAGATAAAGGGAAGAAGTATATAAGAGAGATAAAATAAATACTAGAAAAGGTAAGAGATCCGAGTGAAAAATGTATAGAAAGAATGTAAACGAGCGAACGAAAAGAGAAATGATTCTTGGAACAAATACACTAAAGAAGAAACACACAATATGCTACGCGACAAACAAGCACAATCGCGCGTTCACTGTAAATAGAAGGATGCAACATTATTATACGACAAAGTTCATCTTTATTATCGTAACCTGTAATATATTTATTTGTCCGGTCGTAAAGGTATTTTATGTAATTTAAGATCCGAGCCTCTGTTTCATTTGAATTTGCCGCCATAGTGCGCTAACGAGGCATTGGTCGATGTAATACGAGGTAGAAAGGCGTTCTAAAAGGTACGGATAAATATTTTTAAAGACGCTTGCGAATAAAGTTGAGGAGCGCAGATGGCCTCCGACCAATGCCTCGCGAATAATTAGGAGCGAAATCGAAAAGGACCACGTAATGCGCTCTCGCGATCGAAGTTGATCGTAGCAATTTCCGACCAGTTCTTACCTCGAAATTTAGAGAATGTCTCCGAATCGTTATTGCGGTTGTTATATACATGTTTCTATCACTTTTCAACCTCGATCGCGTGAACCTGCGAATTGTGTCTAATTGTCTTCGTTTCAGTTTCTAATCTCGATCGATTCATTCGAAATTGTCGCAGCTTACAATAGAAGACGCTCGCTGTCCAAAAAATGACGATAAACGCAAGTTTCTTTGCAGATGGCGATAGTTTATAGTTACTATTGTTTCTATTTACATTAAAAACAAAGTATTTCTTTTGAGTAGATAGTCGAATTGATTAAACCGACACACTATACGAATAGTTGCGCGCGTGACTTTAAGAAAACGCTCGAAACGTGTGTGTACCCGTGACGAATCGCGAAGCGACGTTTGTTTCCGTTTCCTTCCGAACACCTCAAATACGAGGCTTTGGAAATAGTTTACGTTAGTCACGGATGCAAGCAAAACCTGTCACCCATTACGAATTCCTCTTTTATTTATTACCGATTAGCATGTAAGATGACGTTCTACCAACATATGCTATAATTATAAATACACCTTATATATAGTAGAGTAAGCGTTACATTACCTACCTACCTACCTACCCACCTACCTACCTATCCGTGCTTGACGGGTGAAACAAACAGATGAATCACGCAATCATATATTTAAGTTGCTATTTGGCACGTATACCTAAGTAATATACTAACATAAACAGTATGCAATAATAAATATGAGAAATTAAATATGATTTTTTTTCACTGAATTGCACATCATACCCATCTCCTAAATTTTTATCATTCGATGCACGTGATGATTTAAATATTATTCTTCATAGAAACGTAGTTGCTTCTAATACTACAGAATAAACGAATTACTACTTCATCACTTCATCAAGGATCTATCATCAAGGTAGCAAAATAAACAATATTTTTTTCAACGATTGCGTTTCTTTGAAATACTTTTATTTATATTTTATGATAAATGCGAAAAATTAATAATTCAATCTTTCATGAAACGTAGTATTAGCGTTCTGTATACGTACAGATGCTAGAATTAATGAAAAAACGAAAACGAAGAAAGATATGAAAAACATTATAAAATGATAAAAAATTTGAACTTTTTTTTTCTAAATGCTTCGTCTTTCTTGTCATATCTTGACAATAATTTTTGTTATATTATGTGATTTAAAAATATTACCTGTTATTAGAGATAAAATTATACTTTCTGATCAGTTGGTACTTTATTAATTTCTTGTTGTGTAGGAATCTGTGTAGATTGCAAATTCGGCTGATTTTGATTATTTTGCTGTGGCACGTTAATATTTTGTGGTATTTGATTTATTTGCTGTTGTTGCAAATTTGAAACTGGATGTTCATTCTGTTGAACTGGAATTTGTACTTGTTGACCTAAAGATTGACTTAAAGGTTGAACCAAAACTTGTCCTTGATTTTGTTGATTTAGTATAGGTGCAGAGTGTAACTGTTGAACAGGATTTTGTTCTTGAGGTACTTGCACATATTGATATTGTTGATTTGGTATTTGTCTTTGAAATTGTTGTTGTTGAATTTGATCATGAATTTGCTGAGGATTTACAATTTGTGGCTGTTGTTTATATTGTGGATTTTGAAATTGTTGCTGATGCAGAACATTTTGATTTGAATCCACTTGAGGTGGAACTAATCCAGGTGCAACTGGTGCATGTCCATATTGTGATGGAAACTGAAAAATATGAACAGAATTATTGTCACAATCTATTCATTTTAATTTTAATTTTTACTATTTTTATATGCTAAATATAGAATGTAAATTTTTTTATTGTTTCTTTTTATTATATTATTATTAAAAAAATTTTTTATATTATGTTTTACATTCGCTTTTAGATAAAAATATTTTGAAAAGCTAGGGTTACTTACCGGCTCGGATTGTGCCGGTATACTACCTGGGTGTGGTGGTAGCTAATAACAGCAACAAAAAGTGCACAAGCTAATTATTATCAATTACAAAAACACTATAAACAATGCTTCTTTAAAAAAAAAGATTAAAGTGGATAAAAAATAATCACTAATAACACAATGCAATATTGTACCCTTTGCTATTTGTAAATTTAAAATAATGAAACAAAATACTATTAGTATTATTCAATAGTAAAATATTACATAAATATTTATCTACTAATACTTTAAAGCAGTTGATACAATTCGTTAATTAATTTTTTGCATAATCATTTTTCTTACAAACTATATATTAGATGGATTTAAAAACTGTTATAGCTTTTAAATCAATCACTTTAAACGAACACAAATGTTTCGTAAATATCATTCACAAATTATATAAAATTTAGAAACAGCATTATGCATTTTCAAAATTTTAAAGAAATTTTCCAAAAAAATTAAAAAATTAATAAAAATATGTAATGATTATTTTTAAATAAAAATAAAATGTTCGTTTAAAACATCGGGTTCAAAACAATAAGATTTTCAATAAAACGTACAATTAATTTTTTCTAAATTTATTAGTTCATTCATTTTCATTTCACAAACTAAAGGTGTACATTTAAGCATAAAAAAATCCTAATAAAAATAAGCATGCAAAAGT